CTCATCAGGACTAACTGCATTGTCTTCCTCTGTGGCCTGGTAAGGCTGCTCCCTGTTTCCTCTTTTTTAAGTTCTGGGGTATAGAAGAATAAATCATCTTACATTTTTCACTAAGTATTTAAGCTACAAAAAAATAATCTGAGAAACAACAATGGTAAGATCTCCTCACATTCTCTCATGTTGCACAGCCAATCCCAAATTATTTTTTACCATTTTTATACACATAAAATGTATTGGCTTCCCTACCGTTCTTTCACTGTTGTCACTTTCCTAGTTTAATTTTCTTTTGCCCCTTGTTTAGAGTAAGTACTCTATAAAGAATGTACTCCTAACAGATCTTTCTATAATGTTTTAAAAATAACAACCTACTTCTGCTTTTAGGTCTGATCTTGCTTAAAATTATCAAGTGTTTTCTAAATATTTTAAGTATAAAGACAAAGCGCTTTTACACAGTTCACAAGATGACACTATAGTTGCTTTTCTTTATAAAAAATCATTTAATTTTTTATTAATTATTTACTTTGTATCCCAAAGTGAATTTGATGTAGATTTTGCCTATTTTCTTAACACTTTGTAGTGTCTTTGTAGTGTTCTCTTTACCCAATGTGCTATTAATCCTCTCTATTTCGCTTTCTAGAACAATTGTACTACTTCCTGCCTTCGGTACTTAACTCCCCTGTTCTTCTGACTAAATGCTCTTCTCAAGTATTTTATTCACGCTCCTCATCTTTTATCCCAAGTTTCACATTGTTATTAAGAGTTCACTAATGGACCAGAATTATCCCTACTTACAAATACTTATAAATGTCCTATTTTTCTTTATAACAAAGTTTTGCAATGACAAGTATTAAAAAGACTATGTATAAAATAGAGGGTGACCCTGTTGTTTTTCTCACAACTGTATGTGCACCAAATATATAGCACAATGCCTGGCCCATGATTAATGTGTAGGTTACCAGATTGGAGGCACTAAATAGAAAGGAAGTACGGCATATCTAATAGAAAACCTATTAGATAGATGGTTATCCCTTTCTGTAATTATTTTCAAGTAATTGGAGATACAACTATAGCATATGGAGTTTCAGATTCCAGCACAAAATTAACATTTATACTTTTTAAATTTTCAAATATTTTTCTTTTGTAATTATTCATTAGCTATAAATATACAGAAAAGACTGTATGTGGATGGCTATGAGTGTTATGCTGTTTTATAATGTGTCAATAAAACTTCTTTCTTATGTGGCCTGATAAGGCTGCACTCCCCTCAGGGGATCAAAGAGCCAGCCACAGATTTTTATGTCAGAGACAGTCCTTGTTCCCCTCATTATGGATCACACTTGGATATTGAGCTGCCATGGGCTACATCTGTGCAGTAGGACAATGCAGCCAGTCCTGATGAGGCCTGATAGGCTAGGGTCAGATGGAAGGGGAGGAGGACATCCTCTATGAGTGGACTGGGGGAAGGTCAAGAGGGAAGGAGGGTGTGACTGGGAGGGGATGAGGAAGGGCACTACAGCTGGGATACAAAGTAAATAAATTATAATTAATAAGAAAATAAATTTATTTTTAAAAGAACTCTTTTTCTCTCCATTTAGGCCCTTGTCAGCAAAATTTGGTGTACAAGGCATCTTTCTACAGATGCTTATATTAGAATGTGCTACTTTACATGGTTTTATTTTATTTGCAAGCATTATTTTCTTTAAATCGTATGATAGTAGTTGATAGAATTATTGTACATTCATCTATGTTTTAATGCCTGTTAATATAAGATATAGTTCTCTCTCTCTCGTTCGCTCTCCTTACTTACTTATTTTTAACTCTTTAAGTTTCTAAAAAATCTATTGTTATGTTGTGCATGCAATTCAACTGGCCTTCCTTTAGGGGCCTTTAGGGGCCTGACAACATTGTATGTCAGCACCTGTGTACTATGACATTACCTGGGCCCGGTGCTTCAGGTACAACCTGTCTGCCACTCCCACCTGGACTCTTTCCTCTCTTACACTCTCTCTCTGTCTGCCTAGCTTTCTTTTGTGGGGTTTCCCACCATCTCCTCTCTCTCTCTCTTTCTCTCCCCCTTTCCCTCTCACTCCACCTCCATCCAATAAATCTCTTTCATATCACATCTGTTGCATGTGGCATCATTTTTCTATAAATAATAACACTTATCAAATATTTTAGCAAGTTCTGAAACTTACATTCTTTGGTCATTTTAATTGGAATAAGATTAAACTAATTTAACTGAGATTTGTATTTAATGTTCTGTCTTCTCTTTGTAGTTATACAAATTTTTCATTTATGTGTTTTAACTAAGCTTTCCAATTTTCTTCAAAATAAACGTAGTAATTTCCTTTATATCTTTGTGGTTACTGAGTGTGTGTTTTATTTTACCTGCTGAAGCTTATGTTTACTTGGTAATTAATGGCATAAAAGGAAGTCATTCATTTTGCATTTATAATAATGAAACATTGTATTATTTTTTAAATTTAACCCACTAGTTTCTAGTGTTTAGACAACTTTATCTAGTAACAAATATGATTGTTTCCTTTTTGAAAATGATACATTTATTTTATGTATTACTATTTTGATCAGCATGTCAGGAACAATACTGAATAGATACAAAAGCTATCACCCTTTTTTGTGACTCACCATTAGACATAATGAAATGGAAAATAATGCATTTTCCTCTTTTGATATAAGTAATATATAATATAGTATCTTATAATATAGTGTATATTTTTATATAATTAAACTTAAATTCAATCAATTTTTATAGTTTATTATTTTTGTTTGTTTATTTATTTATTACAATTTGTTTACTTTGTATACTGGCTGTAGCACTCTCCATCTCCTCCCAATCCCACCCACCATCCCTCTTCTCACCTTATGCTCTTTCTCTAGTCCACTGATAGGGTAGGACCTCCTCCCCTTCTATATGACCCTAGTCTATCAAGTCTCATCAGCACTAGCTGCATCATCTTATTCTGTGGCCTACAAGGCTGCCCCCCCCAGGGGGGGGTAGGTGATCAAGGACCTGGTAACTGAGTTCATATCAGAGACAAGCCCTGCTCCCCTTACTAGGGAACCCACATGGAAACTGAGCCTCCTCTGAGCAGGCATCTAGGTCCTCTCCATGCATGGTCCTTGTTTGGAGTATCAGTCTCTGCAGGCACCCCTGGGCCCAGGTTTTTTGGCTTTGTGGTCATCTTTGTGGTCACCTTTGTGGTCCCCTCCAAGTCTTTCTATCTCCCTCTTCTTCCAGGTTTTCTGAACTGTGCCCAAAGTTTGGCTATGAGTCTCAGTGTCTTCTTCGATACCCTAAGGGGTAAAGTCTTTCAGAGGGCCCTGTGGAAGGCTCCTTTCCTGTTCCTTGTCTTTTCCAACTTCCAAAATATATCCTGTTTGCCCTTCTGAGTGAGGTTTTGGCCTCTTCCCTTTCCCTGTGGTTCCTTTTGTTTTTTAGCTTCTTTAGGACTATGGATTTTAGCATGTTATTGGGAATGTAAACCACTTTGGAAAGCAATCTGGCACTTTCTCAGAAAATCAACATAAGTGCTACCTTAACATCTATCTATACCATTCCTGGGCATATATTCGAAAGCTGCTAAACCATACAACAAGAACATTGCTCAACTATGTTCATAATAGCATTTTCATAATAGCCAGAATCTGGAAACAATCCAGATGTCCCTCAAATGAAGAATGGATACAGAAATTGTGGTACATTTACACACTGGAATACTACTCAGCAATTAAAAACAAGGAAATCATGAAATTTGCAGAAAAATGGTGGGAATTAGAAAAGATCATCCTGAGTGCGGTAACTCAGAAGCAAAAAGATACATAGAGTATGAATTCACTTATAAGTGGATATTAGCCATATAATATAGGATAAACATACTAAAATCTATAGTCCTAAAGAAATTCAATTAATTTTTAAAGAATGACATTGCACTTTCTCAAGTTATTTGTAAGAATTCATTCATTTTTTTCAAAAAAAAATTGTGTACCATATCATTTATTTTAAGTAAAATTTTATTTATTTTATGTGGATGGTTGTTTTCCTACACGTATGTCTGTCTACCATATGTTTGCCTGATGCCTGTGGAAGCCACAAGACAATTCCCTGGATTGTATTTCCTGTCATTGTAGAGACACTGGTAAACTGACATGTAGATGCTGTGAATCAAACCTGCGTCCCCTGGAAGAGCAGCCAGTGATCTCAGAAAGCCATCTCTCCATGACCTCTCTTTCTTTTAAGGAATAAGTTCTTTTCACTACTATTTCTGTTTTCTTTCACCAGTCTTTTAAAAATATTTTGAGATTATAACGTATTTACCTTCCCTTTCCTAACTCCAAACTCTTCCATATATCCCTCCCAATTTTTCTTAAATCCATGACTTTTTTTTACAGTAATTGTTATTCATGCATGCCTGTATATGTGTATACAACTGTGTTTCTAAATATAACCTGTTCAGTCTGTATAATGCACTTCTATGTGTTGTTAAAAATAATCAGTGTTGAGAACCAATATTGGCCCAAAGGTTAAAGCACATGCCTCAACAGACCTGATGACCTAAGGACCTGAGAAAATTGTTTTCTGACTTCCACATACTCATTTTGACACACGCCTGCACACCAAAGACATTAATTTAACTTTAAAAAGTCTCAAAGCCTTATTCAATGTTAGTCTTTAGTGATCTGCTACAGCTGCATATTTTTTTATGAAAAAGGAAAACCATTAAAATGTTTTAAATTGTTCTGAGCTGAAGACTGCCAGTAAGTAGTTGTATTTATATGACAAGAAAATTATAAGATACTTATAAAGTAATTAATACAAAGAGAAAATGAGAAAATATGAGATTTTGAAATATGTAGAGGTGAGAGTGGAGACAGTTATGTTCATGCTTTCATAGCTGACTCATATAAACAAAGCTAAATAAATAATAATTTACACAATGAGTATGTATCAAATGATGAAAATAAAACACAACTGAATATAGTAAACTTTATTATAGGGTTGTAGAATTCATACAACCAGAACTCCTTACAGCATTCAGCACCTTTACAGTTTTGTGGATTTCACAATACAGATTATCAGTGAGAAAGAATTATTACATGGGTAAAAAACTGCTTTCTCATGAATTTGTTCACATATAAGTCAGATTCATTACAGAGCACCTGATAGAAATGTGAAAATGTAACTTCTGAAATCAGGAGAGTTGAACAAAATGAAGAAGAAAACAAAAGAATGTTAAGAGATTTGACATGCTTCACACAAAAATGTCAAAAACAATTTCAAATATTTTAAATTTAAAGCATGCTCTATCCATGGAATTTTGTCAAGAGCCTGCTTTAAATAAAAACAGGAGATGCACTTTATTGTCAGGATGTGAAGTGACATATTCATGCTGCTTTCAGAAATCTAAACCCTATAAATTCAAAAGACAGGATAATCATTTAATTTGTTGCAAACCGCAAGCAATGCCAATTAAACAAGAATTCGGCAATAGCTTGCAGTGGTTAGTAGTTTTCTCCCCCCTTTCCTTTTTCAGTATAAGCAATAGAGTAAATGTATGAGTAAATACCTTGAGTATCCCATAAGTTTGAATATGAAAGTCAGACTGTAATTTTCTGACTTCTTATTACCAAGGATACTCTTTGTCTGCCATTCTTCACTCTTGACAGATCTTGGTTTCAACAATAAATTCATTGGGGAAGTGTCTAATCTTCCAACATTTGTCAATGGCACGCTTGTTGAAACCTGTGAAAGCATAAAAAAATGGCTTTTGAGCTCTCTCTGGTCATAACAAAATATTTTAACATGTTCATTCCAGGCAGTCTACTCTCACTCACTCTCTTCCATTCAGTAAATAACAATAAATTGCCTACCCAGCAAGAGGTCTCGGCGTCTAAGGCGGAAGGATTTTCGGTTGTTGCAAAGTTGATAAATAAAAATACCAAGGTTACTAACATCACGGATTTCTTCAACAGCAACCAGATCTTCACGAACCACATAAGTGTGAGGCAAATACTTGCCACTCTATAAGTAAAAAGAAGAAAGATTAAAATGATATACTCTTAAATACAGCATTCAAATTCCTACTTATATCTATTAAAATAGACATTAAAAATAGAATTCATTTTAAAACAGTTTTATATACTATATTATTTTTATTATACAAATCTACATTTATGTGTTTCAACACTATTTGCACATACACACAGCATGCATTGATCAAATTCAACCTCCCTTCATCCATCTCCCTCTGCACACACTCCCTTCTCAACATCTATTAATCAGTGTTCTGTGTTTATGTGAACATATTTAGATTCTACATTTGAAGGAGAACATAAAGTACTTGTCTGTCTAACTGGCTTAAATTGCTTAATATAAAATATTTCAATTCCATCTATTTTGGCACAGCATACACTTTTCATTCAAAAAATATTTCAACAAAACGGAATGGCTGACCCAACTGATTAACTTTTTAGAATAATGAAACAAAAAAATTGGAAAAAATTATAGAAAAACGTGATCTCTAAAATACTTACTGCCAGTTTGCCAAAAAGCTCCACCAGATTCTTTGGGGTCATAACAATGGAAGTATTGAGGGGCATCAGATAACAGTTTCCCAAAAGCAAGTCTAGGTAAGCAGTCATTCCCTGTTGAGGAGGTAATAATAATAATAATAATAATAATAATAATAATAATAATAATAAATGTGCGTATTAATACTGCAGATTTTCTAAATACCATTGGAACAAACAGCCAGATACCCTTTGAAAATTCATCATTGTCTACTCAATTGCAACATAATGAAAGGGCCTCACTTTGAAAAGATGTTCATTTATGAATAAACTCATTGCCTTTCAACGAAGTAGGGAAAAGAGATAATTCTTGAATAGCTACAAGAAAGAGAAATTTACCTTCTCAAAGTCATGAATAATTGCTGCAGGATCGCTATCTGAGAAACTGGGAACAGGTACATCAATGATTGCAATGTTGTCATCCTCACGAATATCAGCCTCTTCAGTCACAGGCAGAAAATATGGCTCTCCACCATGAATGGAATTTACAGGATCTTCCGAATCAAAAAAGCACATCTCACCATGGTAAATGGTGCTCTAAGAGACAAAAATGGATGAGTTAGAACTTTTAATATTCACCACCATGACACTTGAATTGTTCCTTAGACTCATGTCAATTCATTTTATTTTGTTAATCTGAATCTTATTCTTTATAATTAGCATCATGAAGCTTAAGAACAACAGAGATTGAAATGAAATTTGAAAACATTCCTCAAGTCTTCGTTTCTCTGGTTACCACCACATAATTATTTAGGTTGATAATGAAATACATGGCAATTAGTAATTCAAAGTATTAGGAATTATAATTTTTACCTTGGGCATGAAATACTTGTAAATGCAGGCTCCACCAACAATCAGCCCTGCCAAAATGAATGAGAGGCCTAGAAGAGTAAGCATACATCTCCCAGAAGAGCCATCTTTCTCCTGGGTGGCAACTCTGAGCTCCTAGTGATTAAAAAGCAAAATGAAAAAAAAAAAAAAAACATATTACACTTTCAGACAGTTGCTTTTGTGTACAATTTATCATCCCTAAAAAGCAAAGAATTTTAAAAACAAACTAAGACATTCTACTCAAAAATCGTTTCAAGAATATTTCTGATGTTAATATATAGAGAGTATCTCCACCTACACTAGCTTTCCTTCGAACATTTTCAAATTTAGAGATATCCACTTGTAGAAATATATGAAAGTAATCATTAATTTATCCAATGACGTGTTCCTTTTTACTAAAAATACTTACTATGATCTACTTTTTTAAACAAATATTTAATGGAGGCAACAGTATTTTTAACTATAGGTATGGCACAGTGCAGCATTATCTCTAGAATGTACGTTTCTTTAAATAATTGAAACTGGTTATATATTTTTTATATTTTTCTTGAATATAGAAATAAACTCTTCACTATTTGCTTAGAAATCAATTTATTAACTTAAAGGAGTGTTAGTAACCTTTAATTCATTGTATAGTTTTCAAAAGCTTTACTGTCAAGGAGTTATTTCCTTTCATTTTAGAAATTAATTGATTAATTAATATCTTTAATTTTATTAGTAAGTATAATGCTTCCTGGTGTTTTCTATTATTCTATATATTTCACTAATATTATTTTTCAATTCTTAGAGGAAACACTAAGTTTGAATGTAGAGAATTTGTTACATAAAAAACCTCTGTGTAAAACAGTGATTTAAACATTCTGTGAAATTAATATTTTGCTAAATAATTCTTTTAAAAAGGGGGGGGAAGATCCAAAACAAAAAGTAACTGATTAACTGCGCCCTCC